GCCCTGGCGAGGCGGGGCTGCGGGCTGCCGCCATTTTAGAGTCCCGTTGCGAGGCGGCCGGGAGGCAGGAGCGCGAGGCGCCGGGGGTGACAGAGGCCGGCCGGGCTCAGCGCCCCCTTCCACACCGGGGCGGGAGCGCCACACTGTGCTGGGCGGCCCGCAGCTGGGCCTCCATCCGGACAGGACTGCGTGTCGGGGGAGGGAAGGACGGCGAGCAAGGGGCGCTAATTTACTACTGATTTACACCGTATGCTTTACTCGTTTGCAACTTGCAGATCACCTTGGTGACTGAGAAAATGCCTTCCATGCCCACCCCTGGAACCGGCCCGCTGCTGTGGCAGTGCCTTTGATTGTAAAGTAAAACAAAATGTTTATGATAACCACATGTGCAAGCAACTGTTGCCATGTTGTTATTTTTACAACCATTTTATTGCATAGCACAAGCTGAAAAATAGAAAAAGGCCATTTCCAGTGTGTGTGTGCACTTACGTGCATGAAGGACAATAGAAAGTGTTTGAGCAAGCAACAACAAAAACATGTCTGAAAACTCAGAGCTTTATTTAGAATTTAATTTACACAGAGTCCTCAGTTAGTAGAAATAGTCATTGTAAATTATGTGCAACTGATATACAAAGAGTTGTGTGTGCAAATATCTGAATAAGCTGTCCCTCATGGAATTAATCATGTGCGTGCCTCTGCTTGTTCAGAGCCCTGAAAGCAGACGTAGTGAGTGCGATGGGGGAATGGAACTACAGTGCAAGTGGTACATTGCAGATACCTCATTTTCACGGAAAAATGGTGTGGGTGGCTTCCATTTCAGCTAGGTAGCTTCTAACAAATAGAAACCTCAAATAAGAAAGACGAGAAATTTTAAAAGTATAAAACTGACACAGAAATGTCTTTAATCACGTATTTTAGCTTCTAAAAATATCTCCAGGGTATTAGAAAACATAAAAAGAGGAAATGTACTGGAGAAGAAGAAACTGGTACACAGATTTTTATTTTTTCATTCTACGTTTCAGTTCTGTGTTTCCAAACAACAAGATAAAGCTGCCACTTGAGAACTGTGAAAGGTGAGATGTTTATTAAAGAACAATTCAATTTTAATAATAAAATTGTCTTATCAGGTAGTCCAATTACCATGGTATGAGAAATTCAGTAATCTCAAGTATGAAGAAAGAGAGAGGGAACCTCTAGAAGATACTTTGTTGCATTTCAGCACAGAGCTGTGACATATGTGGGTTGACGTTTGTTCTGATAGATTTTATGGTTTTGAGATGCTTGTCTCGATTGATACCTGGCAGCAACAGACTTAGTCTCAATGCCTAAATAGAGACTGTTTAAAATTCAGTAAATACCTTTTTATACCCTTTGCTTTCTTGCATCTGCAAGTTGACACTTCAAATCCCCACTAAGTTTAAAGGAATTTGGGCAGAAAATGAGTAAGATTGTGATCTTATGGTATGGGATAACAGAACGTGAAAATAGGGGAGAGCACAGATCTCTTTTTACTGACCAAGTAAAAGTACTTGCATATTAACCTCACCTTTGTAGTCTTACTGACTGCTGATTTAATGTTAGGCATGTGTGCTTGCACGGTTCTTTCCTATCTTCTACAATTAAATACTTGCCATCAAAGGTCCTGGGCTGTATGGCTTTTTCACAAAAGGTAATTTTTAAAACTGCATCTTGGTTTTATTGAACCATCTAATTTATGTTGGAAGGGATCTCTGGAGGTCATCTAGTCTAACCCCTCAAAGAAAGCAGATCCTGCTACAGAATTGTTTTCCATCTCACATGTTTGTACAGTTCTGCATACCTACAGAACATTCATCAAAAAAGAAGAGAATTGTCTGGGACAAATTTAAAATTGCCTGTGTTATACTAATGCTGTATAGAAACTAGTACAATTACCGTGCTTTTGAGGTTTTAAATAAATTTCACTTGGTATGTTGTGAAGTAAATGCAAAATATTGTAGATAAATGCATATTTCCTTTTTTCTTCTTGTTACCGGAAATATTTTATCAGTGTTTATCACTGAAACACAGAAGCCTGAGGACAGACCAGTAGGATATCCCACCTGCATTCCAGCTACTGCTACAGAAGAGTGCAGGTCTCCCATAGTCCAGTAGCTGCAAGTCCTGTGCAGATGTTTCAAATACTCCACACTACCTAAAGCATTCAGGCATTTGAACAAATTCTCTTGCTCGTACTATTAATCTTGGTGATGGCACTGACGACATCGCAGTGGCCCTTACAAGTTCAGGAGCAGAATTTTGGGAGAATGTTTTTTTTTCCAATAAATAATATGAGCTTGACCCTTTAAACAGTCAGGACTATTTTGAGTTTGAAGCTAGTGATTAACTTGAATGGTTAGAATACTGCCTGGGAAACAAGAGATTTGAATTCTTTGGGTTTTCTACTTTTATACACAATATAAATCTCCATTGCTATAATCACATATGCTTTCCAGAGCACGATAACTTGGATTTTTGGCTCTCTGTAATGTGCAAGCCTAGAATACCTGAGGCTTCATGGGAAGATATTTTAATAAAGAAGTTATTATAGAAGTGTCGCCGGTAGTCACTTAAGTAAAACTTCTGTATTCAGTACTTGAAATCAAGTTACTAACATAGTTGGTATTTTTGATAAAAACATATGCATGTTTAACAGTTTTAATATTGCTTCTTAACAAAATTGACCAGCTTAGCCTTTAAGAAATAACTTTCTAAAAGGGTAATGTCCGCAGAGCTCTCTACACGTAGAAGTCAGTAGTGTCCTTATTGATGTCTGATGGCACTGTGCCTATTAATTCAGAGAATCCTTTGTCACTGGGCTGATTTCTTAACATACAGATGTTGAAAAAAGCCCTTAACTTTTCATTTCCAAATAATTTTTTAATTGTGATGGCTGCCAAAGTAATTTTCAGATGTAATCTTGTGGTATTCTCTCTTTTTAATGTGTTGGCAACGAGGCTGTGTTTACATGGTGCAAGCCTGTGCCATGGAGAGACACAAAAGCAGTTCTAAATGAACCATCTTGGGTATTGGAAGGTCTGCGTCCACTGCTGGCCCCTAAACTCCATCTGTGGAACCAGGACGGTTCAGGGAACGTGTTCAGAGAGCATTGGCATTCCCAGCAACAACAATAAAAGTCTAATAGCTTAATTGTTCAGTTAATGCCATGGCAAATACATGTCCTGTGGTGAATTCGCATTGCGGTATGAAATACATGCAAATGGTTATATGCAAATACAAAATAAAACTCAAGTCTGAAGAAGAGTGTGAGTTTATACATGTAAGAACTTGATTCAAGGGGAAAAGAGTATAGTCATAATACCAGAACTCTTAAAATTATTACCTTAATAATACAAAAAACCCCTTAATTTATATAATACTGATCATACATCTTAATCTAAATATGAGATAAATTAGGTTTATTAGCTACCTGGCACTGAAATTCTTTCTTCATGCCTTCTGCCCTGGGAAAAACCCTAAGTCATCTGTCTCACTGATTTGATATTTTGGGATCCCATAACTTTTGTTTAGTCTACCAAAACTCTACTGACCTAAGCTGTGTGAACAAATGACTTAGACACTATGTTACTACTATTATTCTTACCATATACTCTGTACTGTACATAAGCTAAAGGTACTAAAAAGCATCTAAACTACTAAAAGAGTTAGGATCAAATGACATCTGGACACTGTAGCAGTGAATGGATTAATTCTCAGTTGTCTCTTGAATCTGTGTACATAGCAAAAGCCACCATTACAATACTGTCCTGGACAGAAAATAGGATCTACGCCTGGAGCAGACTTTCTAGATCAAGTCCACTATTTTCCTCTTATATTCATATAATCACATTCATAAATTAATAAATGGATAGAGCCCACTTCTGCTTTCACAGAAATATCTGTGTTTTTAAAATAAAGTGCTAGATGTGTTTTGTAAAGTGTACCAATAGACCTTCAAAGGAATTGTCATCCTGGAGAGCTGTTCTGCCTTCTACCTTCACGTAGTTCGGTGCATAAACACTGCTTTAATCCATAATACAGCTTTCTCCTCTTCTATATATATTTGGTAATTGCTCCAACGCCACAGTAAGCTAACTTTGGACAAGTTATAGGGGTTTATTAGCAAAGAATAGTACTTCATAACTGCACAATTTCTAAGCACCAGCTGAAGTATTTTCAATCTATTTACTGTATTTATATTTCCCCAGGCTCCCACTAGTTTGATTCCGTCTTCGGCAAATGTTTCCAGTAGCTGCAGGTGTCAGAGCTACCTGACTGTTTGCCTTGGGGAAACAGAAGATTTGCTGTTAGTGAAAGTTTATTGATCAAAGGAAGCTCCCTGTTTTGTGTGTCTGCTCAGTGATGAGGAGGAATAACTTTCCATTAAAAAGTGCATGTCTTATGTGATAAAAAAGTCCAGTCACGCACACAAATATACATAGTATTGGCTTTTGTTATTTTAGCTCATTCAAGGCAGCAAGAAGATTTTTGCCTAAAAAATATTACTCAAATAT